AGGCGGCGGCCGCTCTGGCAGCAGCCATGCCAGGGGCTGGAGGGGCCAAATCTGAAGCCAGAGGCAACGGCCCTCTGCCTGGAGGAGGAGGGCTCATGGAGGAGATGAGTGCCCTGTTAGCAAGGAGGTAGCGACACATCATATATTACTCTTCGATTCAGTACGTCTCAAAATAGGCACTTGAGTCATATGAATGAATTTCAGATCTTGTTTCATATACTACAGAAAAGTGAAACTTGACACAGTTGCCATACAGTAGATTTAGCAAACCCCAATGTTGGTCGCAATGGATTTTGTTGTGCCACCTGAAGAATAAGTTCATGTACTCATCACTCTCACTATTCCTCAGTATTATGAGATGATATGTAGTAAAATCGTAATTTAAATGCACTTTGTTGCTGACAGAGAAGTATCACTGTAAGATCTAGAGAAATCTAAGGAATTTAGGTTTTAAAAATGTGGAGTTCAGGAGGAATTGTGTGGTCTGTGCTTTATGATATTAACATTAAACATGATGATATGTTTTTAAAAATAGCAACTGTTTTTCAGAAATAATTCTGGACTCTGTCTTACAGGAGAAGAATTGCAGAGAAGGGCTCATCACCTGAACCTGACCAGAGATCAGTAAGTACCATTAGATCCTTCTTGTCTGCTGTATTCATGGGGTAGGACTGGATAAGTCTGACTTCTTCCTACTCCATTCAAGCATGTACTAGGTATAAGCAAATTGATATTGGATTAGCATTTGTTGGATATGTGTAAAATTATGTGTGTTGACATATCAACTGTCTTTACATGCTTGAAAGAATAAATCAAATCAAATAAATATAACTGAGTATCATCTCCATAGCAATGGAAATTTATGCTGTGCTTCCTGATAATATTGCCTAAAGGGAGCATGTATAAAGTGAAGAGAAATGGACCTAACACAGCCCTGTGGAACGCCGTGACTAACTTTAGTTTGTGTGGAAGATTCATCATTAACATGAACAAATTGAAATCTTTCCGATAAATAAGATTTGAACCAATTTAGTGCAGTTTCTTTAATCCCAATAACATGTTCAAGACTCTGCAGTAAGATGCTGTGATCAATGGTGTCAAAAGCAGCACTGACATCTAAGAGGACAAGTCCCTTTGTGAGGGTTTTCGTGTCTTGCCCAAGGACACTTCGATATGTGGACTGCAGGTACCGTGATTTGAACTTCCAATCCTCCGGTTGGGAGACAACCACTCTACCCACTGAACCACAGTCGCCAGCAGTGAGTGTGAAATTATGCATGTGCAAACTGAGTAAGTAAACAGTACAGGTGGAATTAGGAGTTAATTCCTGAGTCAGCTGTTTAGGAGCCTGATGGCAGTCAAGAGAAGTGTTCACAAACCTCCTCTGAGCATTAATTGTGCATTCATAGGCATTAAATCAACCTTTACTTTTTAATAAAAAGGTCTGCCTTTCATGGCTGTCAAACTTTTCTCGATAAAACGCGTAATCGATTTGAAGCTTAAACGTAACGTTAGGTTTCTAGCTAATGTGGCCAGAGTGTGATGCCAACTAAATTAATTCAGACAAATCATCCCAATTTAAATGATCATTTAATATTACAATTATTCTGAATAGAGTCGTAGTTAAACAGGTAATCTGGTAGTTAGGGAACAGAGACCAGAGTCACTCCCCCTGCCGTGAGATATATAAAGTATTAAATAAGAATACTGTCAAAAGCGCCAGTCAGTCCAATCAGTTGCTGTTGGTCACGAGGTACCGTCAGTCAGTCTTTCTGTCAACCTACAGTCAGTCAGCGTTCCCCCCGACCCCCCAGCCGGGTCTACGGTACACTTTTCACAGTAGCATTCTCATCCTCTCTTCTTCTTCTCTAACCCAGCTATCCTAGCCTTTTATCTGCTCGCAGTTACACAGCCTTCCATGGCCTGAGCCAGAGACGCAGTCTCATGCCCGCTCCACACCCCTTCTTCCGAGCATTATCTAAGATGTCCAGTACATGACCTTCTAGGTCGCATTGACCTAGCGCACATTTCCTTTTTCTAAACCTGAACAGAGCACATGAACAGTTCACATAAGGCTGCAGCTGTCCATTCCCCATCTGAGGAGGAAGTCACTCTGGATGTATACCCATAAGTTAAACAAGGGAGACACAGCCCAAGATATTCTTGCTTGAGCAAGAGAAGAGAAACAGATAAAAGATTCCGTAAACACTTAGCTCAGCCTTACATAACTATTACAAATAATATCTATATATGAACTACATACCATTCTATTACATATTACCTCTGGAACCTTATTTATTTTTAACCATTACACTAATGTTTGCTCAACCAATGAGCTACAGTAGCTAATATATTACTCATTCATGTACTTGCCTTTCTTTGAATTTTTTACTGACAGATGAAGTTGGATGTTGTGTGGCATTTTTTTTGTGCTGCAGACTGTGCACACTGTTGTCCTCTTCTTGCTGTCATAGCCAACATAATCCTTTAATAATGATAGTTACATCCTGCGACCTGCATTACCCCGCTAGTCTTCCACATTCTGATAACTTGGCAGATGCCATGCCAACTGATTTCAAAAACAAAATGTAACCTGTCAATATTCAGAAAAATACAAATATTTCATTAAAAAGTGGAGTCATTTTGAGTCATGTCTCAAGTCTAAGTCAACTCTCAAGTCATGAATGCCAAGCCAACGTCAAGTCGTCTTTTACCCGTGTTTCTCGAGTCCTTAAATTTGCCACTTAAATCTGAATGGAGTCAAGTCATGTGACTGGAGTCCCCCACCTCTGCCGAGCAGATTACTTTTGAACAACTGGCCCCAGAGGATTGGCTCAAAGCCACTTTCTAATTTGTCCCATGATCATAAATGAACATCTGACTTCAGGTGCAACTCCTCTTCATTGTCCTGTCTGCTCCACTCTGGTAGTGCGAAATGTTGAATTTTATACCAACACATTTTAAAAACAGCTTCTTTGTCATCAGACAAAGGAGAAATATACTCACTGAATAAGACCCTTAATAATACTGTGCTAGTGTACAAAGTATTGTTAGTCTCCTAAATATTTGAAAGTTATTACAGCTGTTTTAATGATGTCCATCCAACCCTAACCCTAACCTGCTGATCTGTGTCACTCTCCATACTGTTACTCAAATATTGTATGTGAACGTGCGTCTGGGCTGCGTTTCACATATAAAGCATCATCAGATCAGTTTTCTGCTGTATCTGACCTGACCAGGCTCAATTTGATATGAAACCGCATCAATACATTCACAGCCACAGACATTTAGTCTGTCACCTCTGTACAGCTGTCACTGAAAGAACCTTCAAATCCCGCTTACCAACGGTTTTGGAGATAGGACAGATTCAATCAGTTCCCACTTTAGAGCAGGACTATCTCACTCTTTGCAGTCTGTAGGAACTACGTGTCATGTTCTGTATGCTGACTGTATTAAGTTTCTCTGACTAATAAATGTCACCATCAGCCACACATTTATTCTGTTTACATGAAAAAGATAAAAATTCTGTTTGCACAGTACACGGTGCGTTTTAGGGTTCGTTTTAAGATTCTTTTATTTGTTTATAAATCCTTAAATGGGCTGGCACCATCTTATCTGGTGGAACTGTTACGTCTGTATAACCCGTCGCGGTGCCTCAGATCAGCAGATCAGCTTCTTCTGGAGGCACCGAGGGCCAGGCGGAAAACTAGGGGGGATAGAGCCTTTGCTGTGGTAGGTCCAAACCTATGGAATGCGTTGCCGCTTTATATTAGGCAGGCCCCCTCACTGTCCACTTTTAAGTCTTATCTGAAGACATACTTATATTCATTGGCGTTTGACTGGGAATGAGACTCTGTCTGTAGTGTTAGCGTTTATATTACTGTCTATAGCTTTTTATGTGTTGTTTTTTTATATTTGTATGATATGTTAAGTGCTTTGGTCAGCTGTGCTGTGGTAAAGCGCTATATAAATAAAGTTGAGTTGAGCTGAGTACAAAAACAAACTAATAAAATCACAAAGGCTACAATCGTACAAGAAATTATACATTTGTCTAAAACGTCATGTTGTTTGATCCAGCATCTCAACCAATCAGCTCTCAGATCAGGTGAGACCAGGCGTTTTCCATCACGCCCTGAACTCCTGCTCTCGGTGGAGAGCACCTGCAGCCGCCTTGATCTGTGAGAATAACGTTGACCACGTGGGCGTTACGTCAGAGCAAGGCGGGATCAAGTCGGACAGTAATAAGATAACCCGAATGCATAATGCACCGATCACCGGCGATTGATTCTGTGCAGATCTGGGTCATCTCGAACATGTCATGTGACCACAGTCTGTTGTTCACAGTTCACCCTCTGTAACGTTTTGGCTACAAACGGGTTTCCTCAAGGTATCACTGCTCCACGTTATAATTAGTACTTCGTTCATGGTTCTGGCGAAATTACTTATTGGTTGTTGGTTACTTATTACAGTATAGAGGCGGTGGCGTTATGTGATGTCACTTCCTGCCAATGTCTCCGTCTTCGCTTTTCTGTTTCAGTCGGGTGATGGACACTCAGAAGGTAAGAATGATTGATCAGTGATTAATGACATCTGTATGGTGAAGACGAGACACATAGTTAGCTAGCTAGCAACTAACAGTTGTCTCTGCTCGAGTGAGCATCCCTCTGGATGAAGGACTACTTATATTTTTACGAGTCAGTACTGATTCATCAATTAATGATTGCCATTTTGAACACTAAAAACTGGTCAGGTGTTTTTCTACTCGGACCCCCTGATGTAAACATGCTGGCTTGTTTGTTTGGTGGACTGAGCTGACGGAGTAATATTGGTAGAGCAGCATATTAGCTGATGTTAGCTGATGCTGTCTAGTGTTGCCTGATGTTAGCTATTAGCTAATGCTAGCTGATACTGGCTCATATTAGCTATTAGCTGATGTTGGCTGTTAGCTAGGGTCCTCTTCTTCCCGGACATGTCCTCTTTTTGGGACTAAAAAAATGCGTCCGGCCGGGATTTCTAAATCTCAGAAAATGTCCGGGATTCGGCTTTTGCTGCAGTCGACATTAATTGTATTCGTTTTTGCATCACGTTTACCTTTCTCTTAAGGCCTCGCCTTGTTGCACGCCACCATTGGGAAGAGAGATAAACGGAAATGCATTGGCCAGGGCGTCTCAATCCCAGCACAACGGCAACAGACAGCCAATAGGAAGAGAGACAGCAGTTGCTTACCTGTCAGTGGATGGCACATCATGGCTCCTGTGCAGAACGATGCCCAAACGGAAATGTAAATTCACGGAAGATTTACAAAACAAATTCCCGTGTTTTCGTCCCGGTCGGGATCCGTTCGAAGCAGAATGCATGACCTGCAAAGCTGGCACGTAAGATTGCACAGTTTTTGTTTGCTATTCCTTCTCACAATGCAAATGTCGAGAGAGTTTTTTTCACCGATGCAAAGCCAGTGGACAAAGGAAAGGAATGTCTTGTCTGTTGAGTCACTGAAGGGGCTTCTGTGCACCCAGTACAACTTTGAACACATGTCTTGCAAAGACTTTCATGCCTACTTGATTGGTAATCAGGGACTATTGGGAAAGATTCGATCTTTAGGAAAGTATACCAGAAGATCAGGAGAACTGAAATGATTTTTGACTGAAATACAGGGTTTTTTTCTTCTTCTTTTTTTTAATGGCAGCTGATTTTTAATTTTACTTTAACCTATGGCCTTGAAAAAAAACAGTGCCATTTAAAAGGTGTTAAATGCTAAACTTTTTTTTTAAAATATTGGTTTGTTATTATTCTGTTGTTGAAGGCCAAAAGTTCAATGGAAAGGATATTATTTATGTATTAAAGTTCAGTAACATAGTTTCATGGTTGTGAATGCATTTGTCAAGTATTTAGACCCCCCAACCCCATCCCGATCCTTCCAACCACAGTGTCCGTCTGCCTCCTGACCCCACTGTCCTCTTTTTTTGAAAAGTGAAATATGGTCACCCTATGTTAGCTGATGCTGGCTAGTGTCGCCTGATGTTAGCTGATGCTGGCTCATGTCAGCTATTAGCAGATGCTAGCTGTTGGTTGACGTTGACGTTAACGTTAGCAGATGATTTTGGCAGTGACACTGTTGACAAGAATAACGTGTGATGGAGGGTTAGCATCACCTGTACACAAACTGGACTTGACAGGATCAGTGGTTCAGCCACGGTGAGGCGTGTTTTTTTTATTTTGGAAAGAGAAGACTAATAAAAGGATATTTCACAATGTGAAATTCATGCATTAACATATCGAAATAAGCATGTGCACATGGATCTTCACTGTTTTGGGAAAACAGAAAAGACTGTCCTCAACTTATTTGTATGAAAAGGTGCTACTATCTAATTGGTTTTGGAGCCAGGCACCGCAGTTGCTCTCCACCGGGAGCAGGAGCTCGGGGCATGATGTGTCTAATTTAAATGCCTGTATGAATGTTTTTTCCAATCATATGCCCATTGTTTTTGAGGCTAAATTGTCTTGTGCAGTGGGTGCTTTGCGGGCGCCTGTTCGGCGCTGTTGGACACTGAACCCATCCACTGCTGGCTTATTTGCCACGGCCTTCGACCAGACAATTGTTCGTGCTGACATGGCTGCTGAGGATACAGAGGGTCTTAGTGCTTGGTTTCATTCCTCTTGCAGCTATATATTGGACTCTGTGGCCCCGATGAAAACTGTGCTGCCTAAGGCTAGGAGGGAACCCTGGCTTGGCACTAGAACTCGTGCAGCCAGACAGACCTGCCGCAGAGCCAAACGAAGGTGGAAGAAGGATGGACTGCAACTTTCACTTCAAATCTTGAAGGACTGTTGGCGCAACTATCAGAGGACTGTGGAAGAAGCCAAGCGAGAGTATTTGTCCAGTATTGTTGTAGCTAATAGCCATGATTCACGTGTGTTATATAAAACAATCGGGACGGTGTTAAATCCCCCACAGCCTTCCTGCCTGGAAGCAACGGTTGAACAATGTAATAAGTTCTTTTTTTTTTTTAATGAGAAGGTTGCTGCTATAAGAGCCCCTGTGTTAGGGTTAGTGCCCGATCCGTCAGTCTATACTACTTTTTTGGCTATTCCTTCGGTTTATGCTCCCTGTTTGGCTATTTTTGATGCATTTGAGCCGGTAACTCTGACTTTTTTGGAGGGAGTGGTTGCCCAGGCTAAGCCATCTGGCTCCCCTCGAGATGTTGTTTCCCCGGCTCTATTCAAGGAAGTCTTCCCCTGTATTGGAAGAATGGTTTTGGATATTGTTAACAGTAGTTTGTCGTCTGGTACTGTTTGTGGTAATTTCAAACATGCAGTACTGCAGCCTCTGCTCAAGAAGCCAGGTCTGGATCAATCCATACTGAGTAATTTCAGGCCCATTTCAAAGTTGCCTTTTATTTAGAAGATTTTGGAAAAGGTGGTCTATGCGCAGGTGAAATCCTACCTAGACGAGAATAACTTATTGGAGGTTTTTCAATCTGGTTTTAAAACTTTGCATAGTACAGAGTCAGCCTTATTGAAGGTTGTTAATGATATTTATTTGGCCACTGATGCGGGTGAATATGTGATTCTTGTTCTGTTGGACTTGACTGCTGCCTTTGACATGGTTGACCATGACATTTTAATATCTCGGCTTCAGGACTTGGTGAGCATTTGTGGTGCTGCCCTAGCATGGTTTAAGTCATATTTATCGTGTAGATTGTTGTCTGTTGGCTTGGCAGATGCTGAATCTGTGACAACCCCTTTATCCGGGGTCCCACAGGGCTCAATTTTGGGGCCTCTGCTTTTTTCATTTTATTCCCCTGGGTTCTGTTTTTAGGAAACATGGGGTGTCTTTTCATTGTTACGCTGACGATGTCCAGATTTTTATGTCGTTGAGTAAGAAGGACACCTACTCGATTCAGCTGCTTCTATCGTGTCTTACTGATATTAGGGGCTGGATGTTGTTAAGTCATTTAAAGTTAAATGATGCCAAAACCGAAGTTATATTGTTTGGCACGTATATGTCTGATGACCTTCCCCCAGTAGACTTAGGGTTCTTGGGGCAGTATGTGCGACCGGTGATCACTGACTTAGGTGTTAAAATAGACAATGGAAAGTCAGACAAATGCGGTTGTAAAATCTGTTTTTTTTTCTATCTTAGGCGGTTAGTGAAGGTAAAGGCCTTTTTGTTGCGGCAGCAGTTTGAGACAGTGATCCATGCGTTTGTTACATCTCGCATGGATTACTGTAATGTATTGTACTCTGGAGTCAGTCAATCGGGTCTTGCCCGCCTCTAGAGAGTTCAGAATGCTAGCGCTCGGTTAATGGTAGGGGGACATAAGAGGGGCCACATAACTCCAGTTCTGGCATCTCTTCACTGGCTTCCTGTGCATTTTAGGATTCGTTTAAAGATCCTTTTATTTGATTATAAGTCCTTGAATGGGCTTGCTCCGTCTTATCTTACGGAACTTTTACATCCGTATAATCCGTCGCGGTGCCTTAGATCAGCTGATCAGCTTTTTCTGGAGGCACCGAGGGCCAGGCGGAAAACTAGGGGGGATAGAGCTTTCGCTGTGGTGGGTCCAAATTTGTGGAATGCATTGCCTCTTTATATGAGGCAGGCCCCCCTTGTTGCCCATTTTTAAGTCATATTTTAAGACCTATTTGTACTCATTGGCGTTTGGACAGGGCTGAGACTCTTTTTACCTTGACTGGACCCGAATGTTTGTTTTATTGTTTTTATTTTTACGTTGTTACAATTTTAGATTTGTATTGTATGTTAAGCACTTTAGTCAGCTGTGGCTGTGGTAAAGCGCTATATAAATAAAGTTGAGTTGAGTTGAAAAACTGTTGGAGAAAAGCCATGGTTTAGACTTAACTCTCCCGTTATTGGTCCTTCAGTCCGTCCTCTTCCTATGTCCTTTCTGCTCAAATCGTCGTGGACAGCGCCCTAAGAAGAGGAAGAATACCTATACTGCCTTACTTTTTACCTTGACTGGACCCGAATGTTTGTTTTATTGTTTTTATTTTTACGTTGTTACAATTTTAGATTTGTATTGTATGTTAAGCACTTTAGTCAGCTGTGGCTGTGGTAAAGCGCTATATAAATAAAGTTGAGTTGAGTTGAAAAACTGTTGGAGAAAAGCCATGGTTTAGACTTAACTCTCCCGTTATTGGTCCTTCAGTCCGTCCTCTTCCTATGTCCTTTCTGCTCAAATCGTCGTGGACAGCGCCCTAAGAAGAGGAAGAATACCTATACTGCCTTAATTCCTACATACACACTCACTTCTTCCTTTGTTTCCAACTAACTGCTCCATATTAGGCATTGCTCTCCATTTCACTAATTAAAACTGTTCTGCCTGTGTTTGTGTGGGTGCATAATGTTCCTACCTTTGAAACTTTCTCCTCCGCTAGTGTGAAGCGAGTTCTTTTATTTTGAAAAGAGAAGACTAATAAAAAGATATTCCACAGTGTGAAACTTATTATGCATTAACGTATCAAAATAAGCATGTGCACATGGATCTTCACTGTTTAGGAAAAACAGAAAAGACTGTCCTCAACTTGTCGGTATACAATATTTGTATGAAAAGGTGCTAC